TGGGGTTCAGTGGGTGTAAGAAGGACACACAATGCATCTCAGAGTGTACGTTTAGAGTGAAGCATACAGGACGCAGCCCCCTGTCCATCCCTGTGTACTCGCTGCCACGCCATCTCATTCTCATTGCAGCTGAATCTCCAGCCCCACAATTTGCTGTGTGCTTTTTTGCCATGTAATTGTGTGGGTAGTGCAGCAAATATCCTGCCTGCTCCTCCCAGTTTCTAATTACTACCTATTGCCAAAGCTGGCCACCACACTTCCCCATGGACATCTGGCTCTTCAACATCGGCGTCTCAATGGGATTAGTGCTCTGTCCCTGCCCGATAAATCTGATTATAGCAAACATATAAGGGAGTGTCCCCACCCACAGGAAGAGGATTTAGAGGTGGCCATGCCAGGGAAGAGGGTGGTAGAGGGAGGCCTTTCATTCCCCCACACACAGCCTCAGGCATGTCGGAGGACTCACCCATAACTTGTGCAAAACTAGGCTCTGGCCTTTTCCTGGCTGTCCAGGCTATGGTTCTCACCTCTGGCTAGAGGACACTTTGCCTCAAGCCAGCTTCCCACGGGGTAGGATTGTGGGGCATCTGAGGGCAGGCAGAAGTAAAGGCTCCTTAGAAATGGCAGCAGATGGCTTGAGAGACAACTAGTTAGCAAAGTGCTTGCTTTTTTAATTCTTCTCTCATACGAAACATCTCAACCCCACTCCCCCCCCCCACGCCTCTCCTCTTCCCCAGACGCACTGCTCATGCATTTCCCTTCAGACATACGCCTGCAATCCTAACACTGGGGTGTGGTGACTGCAGAGGTTGGGACTTGCTGGCCAGCCGTCTGGCCAATTGTTAAGCTTTAGATTCAGCGAGAGGCTATCTCAAAAAAAAATAACGTGGACAGTGATAAAGGAAGATACCTGACACAGCAACCGTTAGCTTCCACACCCATGTTCCCTCTCTCTCTCTCTCTCTCTCTCTCTTCTCTCTCTCTCTCTCTCACACACACTGTCTCATATACACTCACACACTCATATACATACACATTCTCACACACACACACACACACTCTCTCACATACACACACATATCTGCACACACACACACACACACACACACACACACACACACAACACACACACACACACACACACCTGAGGCGGGAAGGCTCAGTAAACAGTGGTCCAAATACTACCCAGTCTGTTACAGACTGCCCTTCCCTCCCAGTCTACCAGCCCTCACTGTGGCCCATTACCTCATTAGGTTTTACATTGTCTGTCCTTTCCAGTCACATGGGGCTTTTCTTTATAATAACAAAGAGGCTTTTTTGTTTTATGAATGGCACCGCCTGCAAATTCATACTCTCCAGAGTGTCTGTGAATGAGAGTGCTGTAGGTATAAATTCTTTCTCTCTAGGTAAGGGGAGAAGGCTAGACGAGGAAGGATGGCCAGAGTTGATCTTATCAAGTGACCCTGAACTCCTCCTGCCTCACTGTGGTCTTGCCGTTCCCCCTCCCCCCATACAGGAGGGAATGGGCCAGATCACCTTAAGCAGCCTGGTCCTGACCATTCCCCTCATGATCCCCAATGAACTCTGAAGTCACAGACAACCCAAAGGCTGAATTACTCTCGGAGGACAGGGCAGACCTGGCAAATTGCTGGCCACAGCTTGCCCTGCTCTGTCTGTGTCTAGGGAAGGAGGGAGACTGGTACAGGGCTTACCCACCCGCCCATTGCCAGGCCAAGAGTCAGCCTTCTGAGTATTGAGAGCCAGGGGCTTGGGGAGCCTTCCCTAGACTCACAGCTCTCTTACAGTCTCAGATTAGCTTGCCAGCCTTGATGTCCCTCCACAGGAGTGCAGGGGGAGCCTTGGCCATTTTAGGATCTGTTGCTATGCTGCGCAGACCGATCCCAGCAGTTAGACACTTGCTGATTATTGTTCTGAGCTGGGAGCAGGTTATACTGAAGGCTGTATAGACCAGAGGGGGTGCAACCTGGCTCTTTCTGGAAATTCCAGAACTTATGGCTGTGCCTGCCCATCTCTCCTATGGGGCTGCTTATATACTCCTTCATTCTACACCCTCTGGCACTGTCTAAGGCAGTGCACATCTCAAGCTCACTCTATCTAAGGCTCATAGTCACTTACCAAATGCCAACATCTGCAAGATGTCCTACTTGCAGAGGTTGGAGGCAGAGGCCTCAGCAGGAGGCAGAGGTGAGCGCAAGTGTGAAGGATTGGCTTGTTTTCAGAGAGCTTCACACTTGTCTGTGGGCTGGGATCCTATGGGCCTGGAAAGGTTGACAGGGACAGAAGTCCAGGATGGAGAAACAGGGCCTTGACATAGCTGTGTATATATTTGGGGTGCTCTGCCCACAGGGGAGACAGAACTGGGCAGGAGTCAAGGATGGCAGCCCACACTAAATACAGGTAGAGAGGGGCCAGGGCTATGGCTGGGGCTGGTGATGGGGCACTGTGGTGGTGGCACCTGAAAGGGCTTCTTATGTTGACTCTCAGCAAGGTCCCTGTGCTGGGCAGAGCACAGGAGCGTTGATGAGTGTTTTCAGGGCCAGGGCTCCACAACCCAAGCTCTCACACTGACTTTTCACCAATTGTGAAGCCTGACTGAGTTATGGTGGGGTGGGTCATCAGTGCCCTGCCAGTGGGAACCACTTGAACCCTGACCTCGGGTCCTCCCTCCCCATCCTCCTCTGTCCTGGAGCAGGAGTCCACAATACCTTCTGTAAAGGGTCTGAGTGAGTGAGTTTGCTTTGTGGGCCAGAGGATCTCTGTCACAACTGCTTAGCTTGGCCACCACAGTCCAAACTAGCCACAAAGGTGTGAATGACGAGTGAGTGGTCTGCGTGCTAATAAAATTTCACTTTTAGCAGTAGATCAGGGTCCCAGCTTTCCGGCCCCTTACCTGAAAGATCATGCTCGGCCATGGAATAGACACTGAGTGACGGTCATGTCACAGTCCGTTTGAGAAGAATGGGGACCACCACAATCATTGGGACTGGCTGTATTCCCCCGCCAGTGCCCAGTGTATAGAAGGAGCATGAAGGATCAAGAGGAGGAGCCAAAACACGTGTTTGAGTGTGGGCAGCAAGATGCCACCTAGAGGCTGCAGAACACCATCTGCCACCATCCTCTGGTCCTCCCCACCATAAGCCTCTGGCCACGGCTTTCAGTTCTAGGATGGCCAATAGGCCTAGACTGGTGGCGTGCATGGCTGAGGACCTGTCTTATTCCTAGGGAGTCTGAGGTGAGAAACCATCTCCTAGGCTCTTTTACTTCATATCCAACATGGTTTAAAATAACCCCAAGAATGGGCTATACTTGGTGGAGGCAGGAACTCTTTTGTGGCCTTCTACTGCCAAGCAGGGCACTGCCCCTCCTGCTCCACAGCCTCTGAAGGTTGTACCCCTACAATTGTGCACACAGTATGATGAAAGGTGAGTTTACTCCAGTTATATGAGAATCTCCCCAAATGTGTCTCCAATGAAGCCCATATTCCTGAAAGTGGCTCCTGTGGCCACTTTCCAACCACAACTGGGGCTCCACTCCCTCAGAAATATCCCTGTAGAACCTATTCCTGAACAAGCCACTGAATGAACCCATCTTTCTGCAGGCACTTGGCACCCTAATTCACATTCTGTTGGATGTCATGGGCTGTCAGTCACCCTCACTAGGGTGCCTCGTCAGGCATATCCAAGGTGTATATGGAATGAGATTTATTTCATTCCAGGAGCATTCAGAGTAAGCATTTGCGCTAGGGCCTTCTCCCAGAAGTCCTCCCGACCTGTCTCAAACAAGCACAATTTCCCAGGGCATATAAGAGGAGGAGGAGAGGAAGAGAAGGGGGAAGGAAGGAAAGAGGAGGAGGGGAAGGAGGAGGAGGCAGGAGGGGAAGGAAGAGGGGCAGGAGGACTGGGTGAGAGCAGGAAGGGGTGGTTCCTTGTCTTTATTTGTTTGGAAGGTGGATACTGCACCCACTGGACAGGCTGAGGCAATGGTCTGTTTTTCATGCTGCTGCTGCTGGGCTCTACCATTGACCTGGATGCTAACTGCAGCAGCAGGAAGCCTTATTCCAGGCATTGGGATGCATGGGCTGCATCCAGCTGTCCAGCCAGGCTCCTTCAGGGGCTGCAGTCTCTGCCCTGCTAATCTTGTTCCTGCAGGCTAGATGAGTTTCCTTTGATGGCTTTGAAATGGCCACTTCAAGGCACTCAGACCTTGGTCTGTAAATTCTCCCAGACCATAGCAGCTATAGGAGAAAATCCACAGCAAGGCTGGGTTGAGTGTTGATGGAAAATTACCGTGATTGAAATGGAGTCAAGGTCAGCGGTTAGTAGGAGGGGGAAGATCCGTGTGGCCATTTCTGAGAGACTCAGGTCTTTGTGTGGCTTTGTCCCCAGCTGGTGCTATGCACACTGCTGGCGTCTCCCTTGCTCGGTCAGGTCAGCACAGCGGCTCTGTGTTCTGGAAGCTGCACATGCACTTAGGCTCTCAAGCACACACAGAGATGAAGATGCACAGGGACATACATACACAGACAAACTGCAAAAACCAGGACCTGAGGGTCTCAGCCCCCAAGGAGATGAGTGAACAGTGGTCTTGGAGGAGGCCAGCTGAGCCACATCACCAGGATCTCAAGCACGTGAGGAAACAGTCCTGGCTTCCCTTACATGCTTGACTCTTCCAGTTTCTCTGCTCAAAAACAAACAAACAAACAGCAATAATAAACCCTAGCTGTAAGGGTTGAAAGGAACATTGCAGTAGCATTGAAGGCTCATTAAGGGAAAGCTGTTGCCTCCTAGTCAAAAGAATGAATCTTCCTCTGGGTGGAGACATACCATTGTCTCTTTTCCTAATAGTTATTCCAGTTGGGCAGGTCAACTGTCTGGCTAAGGGAACACCCCCCTCTGGAAAGCAGATTCGCCTGAGGCTTTGCCAAAGAGATGGGAGGAATATTTATCCCTTTAATGAAATAATGTACTTTTCTTTTCCAGAATTCCCTCCCACCAGCTGTGCAATGGCCCCAGAGCCATCATCAGGGCCTGTTAAGTCCTTCAGCTTCTGAGTCCTGAGTCAGAAGGGTGTAACTTTCCCTTCTGCCTCTTTCTTTTGAATGCTGGTAAGAGCCTAAGTATGCCTTCTTAGGTACTTTGGGCTTCTTCTTTCTTTTTCTAAAGCCATCCATCCTTTTGCCATTCAGTTGCTTGTTTGCCATATGGCTGCCTGCTTGCCAAACCTCCATGCTTGAGTGAAAAAGGCACAGTGTTCTCTCTTTTCCCTCCTTTGCCAAGATTTACACCTTTCCTGTCCTTGAGGGGTTTTTTGTTGTTGTTGTTGTTGTTCTGTTTTGATTTTTGTTTTGATGGTTAACATTATCCTCAAGCATTTGAGTCCACTCTTAAATTCTTTTACTGTTGACACTAATAACCCCAAGATGAGAAGCCCTCTTCCTCCTTTCCCCGGTGATTTGTGGCAATTTCAGAAGGACTTCCTGAGATTCCCAGTAATACGAAGAGAAGAGGGTACACAAGGGGAGGGCGGGATCCTTCTCATCAGCCTGAAGACTGGGGCTGGGGTTAGACAAGTGTGTGCTGTGTGGCCACACCGAGGCTTCTGCAGAGCTCAGAGAGCAGAGCGTGTCTTCCTTTCACCTTTGTTTCTTGCAGAGAGGGCGTTGTCACTGGACCCGATCCTCAGGTTCCCCTGGAGACCTGGCAGCTGCTCCTTAAGCCTTGGTAGAGAAGAAGTGACTTCTTGCTGCTGTTCATACTTGGGTGGAATCAGGAAGAGTGTTCCTGGGATACTGGGCCAAGGTAAGACAGTATTCCCCGCTGCCTGGGGGTCTTAGAGCTGGCTGTGCCCATGATGCTTTCCCAAAAGGCACCAGCAATCAGCAAGTGCTGGCTCAGCTACATCGGCATGAGCATGTATCTGTGTGTACACCTGTGTGTTTGTGTCTTCGTGCGCAAATGTGCATGTGTCTGTGTTTCAGATGTGCCTGTGCCCGTGTATATCATGCCTGCTTACACACATGTGTCTCTGTATGTGTGTGTATGTGTGTCTCTCCGTGTGTGTGTGTGTGTGTGTGTGTGTGTGTGTGTGTGTGTGTGTGCACATTGTGACAGATGGTTTCTGCTTTTGCTCTTATTTAGCTGTTGGCCCATCCAGAACTCTGAATGCTCTTGAAGATGCAAAGAGGTTGCCAGGTGCTGTAAGGTCCTGGGGCCTGGAACCCCCACCATGACCCTGGGAAAGATGTGTGATCAGTGCCTATCTAGCGTGGTCCTGGGTCCATGCCCCCCCCCAACTGGTAAAGATTTTAGATTGTTACCTGGAGCTGCATGCCAGGACCCTACAACCAGATGGAGGGGCGCTCAGGGTGAGACCGAGTCTCCGGTGGCTGGGCCTCCCGTCTTTTCTACTGTTCTCTTAGCTCTCAGCCTTTGTTGCCCATTAGAAGATTCAGCATCTACGCTGGTTCCCTGTTGATGCAGGAGATGTGGTATTGCTTACATCTTCCATGTGTTCAAGAATTAAGGGAGAGCTGCCCCCTAGCTCTCAAGGCCTCCCTAATGCCAGGAATAGTCACCCAGACCTGGGCCAGGAACAAGTCTGACTGCCCCACCTGCCTGGCTCCACTTGGGCTGGGCACTTTAGAACAGGGCCATTGCCTCCGAAGGTCTTAGCACCTATCCCTGGACCATTCCTGTAGATGAGCTACAGAGCAAACTTTCCACAGAGACAGCAGCAGCCTCCAGTCACCACACAGTGGTTCCCACTGAAGGCTACAGATCAGCAGATTGAGTTGGGAAGCCCCTGCCTGTAAACAGGGCTGTGGTAAGGGGTCAGATGAATGGATACAGAAGCCAGACCAAATCCTTGGGAGAAAACCTCAGCTGGTAATGATGGTCTTGCACTCTTCGCCACTGAGTGCTGGGTGAGGGTGTGAGGCTGCTCTCCAGCCCCTGAGCCAATCGTCCTTTTTGGTGGTGTAGCCTGGTACCTCTTTTAGTGTCTATGGCAGTACCATAACCCTACACTATCTACCTGTAGCAGGGTAACAACAGGGTAGGGCTGTACCCTGTTGCCCCTCAGGATGGGCATAGGAGAGGAACCCCAAAAGGAAGGACTGAAGGAAGGTGTGTTTCCTGGGCTGAGATCACTTTGCTCTGAATCCCTCACCCCACTTCAAAAGAAATCTCATCTTCTTTCCAATAATGACTTTGTCACAAAGACATAATTGGTTCATTTGTTAGACTGAATGTTTCCAGGCTGAACACTGAAGATTTTTTTGTTTTGTTTTGTACAGAAGCAGTCTCACTCAAATGCCACTGGGCTTTGAGGCAAATAAGGCATTCATCCTCCCCTGTTGGGGTTCCACCCTGGTTCCTACGTCTCTGCAGTCACTGAGTGTGGGGGATTGCGAAATTGAAGTTGTGAATGGGGCTGCCCAGGGTGCCATGTGTGTCTGTTTGGAAGTCAGTATGGAGACAGGCTGACCTTCCATAAGTACAGCTTCCTCTGAACATCTGAAGCTGTTGGGTCCTCGGGACGACAGGAATGGAGCACCTGGTGACCCCCTCAGGATCTGGCCCTGCTCAGCAAGAGGGATTGGAGCTGGTCATGGTCTTCTGTCTTCTGTATACAGTGTTTCTGACAGCTGGTTTGTGCCGAGTTACTGCCAGCCCTTCCCCAGTACTTACTGAGGACACTGGGTTCTCCAGGGCTGGTAAGGAGTCCTCAGAAAAGGACATCAAGCCTTGAATGGGTTGGGCAGGCTCTGGGCCTCCCAGGTATGCAGGAGCGTCTACAGAGTGCCCCTGTCCTCGGTAGGGAGAAACAGGGAGCAGGCTGTAAGGAACAGCAGCCATACTTCAAAAGTGGTTCTACCCTGGGGATAAGGCTCAGCTGGTAAAATGCTTTCCTTGCAAGCAGGAGGATATGAGTTTAATACTGAGGATCCTGTTCAAACAAAAAATTCTGGTGTGGTGGAGTGTGCTAGCAACACTGGGGAGGCAGAGGCTTGAGGCCAATCATCTTGCCAACAGATGATTTTAGACCAATAAGAGACCATGTATCAAAACAATGTGGATGACACCTGAGGAATGACACCACAGGTTACACACACACACACACACACACACCACACACACACACACACACACCACACACACACACACACACACCACACACACACACACACACACCACACAACACACACACACACACACACACACACACACACACACACACGCACATTTGGGCGTGGTCAGAGTGATGTAGCAACACTTTAACTATGAGGGTCGCATGCACGGGGCTCTCTATGTTCCCTGACCCGCCTGGTTGTACAGTACTGAATTCGTCTCGTTAGTACTTTCCTAATAAACCATCTGCTCATCAAACTAGCTCTGACTCCACTGTGATATGCATTAATTGCGTTTCACTTTACCTGGTCTCAGAACTGGGATTCAAACCCATGCCTCCATGGGAGACTGCTCTAGCAGAAACAAGCGCTACCTCCCTTTCTCTCCCTGGAAGGATGCAGCAGCAGAACTTGTGCAAACCTAGCCAGCCACACCAGGATTTCATTGGGTGGGAACACGTCTCACACTCCAGAAAGGCACTACAAGTTCTCCCTGACCAAACCTCAAAAGTGGCATGCAGTAAAGCTAAGCCAGGCCTCAGGGCTGGATGGGAGAGGAGCCTGGAGATTAGGCACACCAGCCTGTCAGAGAGCAGGCCCCGAGTACCCACCGTTGTGTTCTTCTTCCTCAACTGAAAAAGGAAGATGGTCAGTAGAACCCTCGGCCTCTGGGTTGGATTGAGCTCACAACTATCCTGGGGTGTATGGTAATTATGTATTCAGCACAATTAACCCTTGTAGTAATTGCTTGTCAAGGGAACTCTGCTCACCCAGTTCAGAACCTTCAGCCTGGTCTTAGGGGGACCCCAGTCAATTGTGGGGAACCAAAGCTGGGTATGATTTAACTGTAATCCTAGCACTTGAGAAGTAGAAGCAGCTGTCTACAGCCAGTCCAGGTTCTATTAAAGCCTGCTTCAAAGACAAAAACAACTGAGAGAGAGAAAAAACAAAACACCTTGTTTTTTAAAACCAAAAAGAGAGGAGAAAAGAGAGAGCTACCCTACTTTGAATCCCTGCCCCACTTCTCTTCTCTCCCACTAAAGCTCACCCTTGTAGATGGAGTTTCTGTCCTGCCTGGTCCCCTTCGGCGCCAAACAAACACCCAGAGACTTATGATAACTATAAACTGTTTGGCTGATGGCTCAGGTTTCTTACTGGCTAGCTCTCTCTTAATTATTAACACATTTCTCTTAAGCTGTGGATTTGGCTTCCTGGAGAAGGCTCCAGTGTGTTACTCTTTGATAGTCTACACAGCACCTCTCTCGAGGCCTCTCTCTTGTATCCTCTCCCCAGAATTCTCCTCCTCTCATAGGCCTGCCTGGATACTAGTCAATCAGTGTTTTATTCAGCAACCAATAAGAGAAACATACATACAGAAAGACATCCCCCATCACACCTGAGCTGCAGGTGAGTCACAGCAGAGGAGCTTTCTAGAATGTGTTTTGAATCAGGGGCGGGAAGGCTGGGCTAGGATCCACCTGGAGGAGTCACCTGGCCAGGGAAACACAGCTGTCCCCAAGATGCTTGTGGCCTCAACCAGCTGCTTTGGAGGGAATCACAACTTTAGTCTCACCAGGTTAGCACTAACCCTCACTCTCCTGGGGCTGTGAATGCTAGGGGCAGCCTGGCAGCTGCACACAGGGCTGGAGGCCCCTCCTTCCACTGTGGTTGTAATCACAATGCATTCTCCCTGACAGATCTTCTCCAAAAGACAGCCACAGGTGCTCATGACATTTAAATTGCTTCAATTTGCAAGTCCAATGTTTACATGAATATTCATGCACACACACACACACACACACACACACACACACACACACACACACACACACACACAGGCTCTTTTGGTGGCATTCAGACCACAGCCTGCTTGGGATGCCTCGTCATGCAGTGAGGTGACAAGACTCATTGATTCCCATGGTGGTTTCTCATCACAGAACATTTCAAAGCCCGAAGCCTGTCAACTTCCCAGACACTTGGGACTGGGCTGTTCTGAAATGCAGGTGGCTTGCAGTCTTCAGATTGAAGATGCCCGACTTAGATGAAATGGGAAAATACAGAATCCCACAAAATTCCCAAAGAAGAAACAGACAATTGAAAAATTGGTACACTCTTTTTTTTTTTTTTTTTTTTGGTTTTTTGATACAATTTTCTCTGTGTAACAACTATGGCTGTCCTGGCACTCGCTCTGGAGACCAGGCTGGCCTCGAACTCACAGAGATCCGCCTGCCTCTGCCTCTCGAGTGCTGGGATTAAAGGCGTGTGCCACCAACGCCCGGCTGAAGCAATCTTTATTAAATAAATCTAATAGCTTTTCAATAATCTTCTAAAATAGGAAGTACCAGGCCCAGACGGCCCATTGGTGAGTCCTGCCAAACACTCACATGAGAGCGACATAACCCCCTCTAGTCTCTCTGAGAAGGCAGAGCGCTGGGAGACCTTAAGCTCACTCAGTGAGGCCAGCATTACCCCAGAACCAGAACCAGCCACAACAAATGACAAATGTAGACTATCATCCCTTAAGAACACAAATGCAAACTCCTTGGGAAAATACTAGTTAATTAAACACGCAACACATATGTGATGATTTGAATATGCTCCCTTAGTTCACGTGTTAGAAATTTAAGGTTTCTATTGCTGTGAAAAGATACCTTGACCATGGCAACTCTTTGGCTTCAAGACAGGGTTTCTCTGTGGTTTTGGAGGTTGTCCTGGAATTCGCTCTGGAGACCAGGCTGGTCTGGAACTCACAGAGATCCGCCTGCCTCTGCCTCCCGAGTGCTGGGATTAAAGGTGTGCGCCACCACCATAAGGAAGACATTTAATTGAGGTGGCAACTTATAGTTTCAGAGGTTCAGTCCATTATCATGGCAGGATATAGTGTGTGAAGGTAGACATGGCGCTACAGCTGAGAATGCTACGTCTTTCAGACAACAGGAAGTGGTCTGAGACATTGGGTGACATCTTGAACATATATGAGACCTCAAAGCCCATCTCCACAGTGACATACTTCCTCCAACAAGGCCACACCTTCTAATAGTGCCACTCTCTTTGGGGGTCATTTTTTCTCAAACCACCACAGAAACTTAATCTTTGATACAACAGGGTTGAGAAGTGAGACCCTGTGAATGGGTTTAGGTCTTAAGGAAGAGCCCTCACATAAATATTAATTTTATTACACTGGAGTAAGTTTTCTATAAAAGCAAGTCTGGTTTTTGCCCTCTCTCTTACATGTGTGTGTAGATAGCCCTTTACATAGAAAATAATCAAAGAATGGACACTCTTGGAACTTGTATGATTATAGGAAAGTAAGATATAAGGTTAGTAAACAAAATTCTATTGCTTTCTTATATACCAACAATGAATAATTGAAGTAAAAATACAATACCGTGTCTGTTTATTTTTAAATATTTGTTTAATATTCGTGTGTGTGTGTGTGTGTGTGTGTGTGTGTGTGTGTGTGTGTGTGTGCGCACGCGCACATGCCCTAGGTCATTCATGTAGAGGCCAGAAGAGGCATTGGATCCCATGTACCTGGAATTACAGACAGTTGTGAGCTACCCAGTGTGGGTTCTGGGAACTAGGGTCATCTGCCAAAGCAGTATAAGCTGTCAGCTATTTGCCCAGTCCTATAATACTATATTTTCATACTAACTAAAATAATTAATGAAAAAAAACTTTAAAAATAAATAGGATTTGTTTTATACACAGATACACAAAAAATGAGATATGGACTGGGCCTAGCTCAGTGGCAGAGCGCTGTCTTACTATACCAAGCATCACCAACCCACCCCAAATGAAAACTTGGCTTAGTTTTTAAATAGAAGACAGGATTGGAGTGATGGCTCAGTGGTTAAGAGTTCTAGCTGTTTTTGAAGAGGACTTTAGTTGAGTTCTCATCTCCTATGTTGAGTGGCTCACAATCATAGCAACCACAGCTCCAGATCATCTTACGTTCTCTTCTGACCTCTGAAGACCTACGGACACTCGGCACACATCCATATTGACACCACCACATCCAAGACATCCAACAAAACTACATAGTCAAGATGGTGTGGTCAGTGAAGCCAACAGAGAGCCTAGGAACAGACACACACAGGACTATCCAGCCAAGGCAGTATGTAGAGGAAGGGTCACCCCTGGACAACAATCTATGAAAGAACAGGACCTACACCTTCCAAAAACTAATCAAAACTGATCGCAGACCTAAATATAAAGTTCAGGAAAATAAAGCAGGGGAGAAGTTGACTATCCCTGTGTTTAATACTGAATATTTATTAACTATTTGTTTAGTTATCTTAAGAGTCTCATGTAGCCTCATAAAACTTTGAATTCAAAATCCTACTGCCTCTTCACCCCGAGTGCTGGGATCACAGGTGTAGGGTGAGCCACCACAACCCGCTGGATATTTAAACAGAAGAACGTTCTGTGAAAGAAAAACCAATAAACTGGACCTTACTAAAATTAATGATACTGTTAAAAGACAGCCGATATTATAATGCCTGTAATACCAGCATCAAAAGCCTGAGGCAGGAGGATTGCAGGCTGGAGGTCATTCCCAGCTATATTGTAAGACCAGAAGCCTCGGAGGCAATATTGCAAAAGACACATATGATAGGCTGATCCAAAATATACAAGACTCTCAAAAATAAATAAGAAAACAAACAGAAAATGGGCAAAAGTCTAATCAGGAACCTCATGCAAGAAGAACCCACATAGGCAAATAAGCAAGTGAAGTAGTGCTCTGTGTTACACCTTACTGGACTGAACTTTATCAGCTCAGCTTCGCCAGGTTTGAATCCCTGGAGACATACATCTGTGGGCATGTCTGTGAGGGTGTTTCTAGAGAGGTTTTTGGTTTTTTTTCATTTTTTCATTGATTTATTTTTTACATTCCAATCCCAGGTCCCCCTCCCTCTTCTCCTCCCATTCCTCCACTCCCCCCTCCTCCCATCTGCTCCATGGAGAGGGTGAGGCCTCCCCTAGGAAGTCTACTAAGCCTGTCCCGTCATCTAGCTGAGGCAGGACCAAGGCACCTCTCCACCCCACACCCCTGTGTCTAGGCTGGGCAAGGTATCTCTCCATAGAGAATGGGCTCCACTAAGTCAGTTTGTGCATTAGAGTTAGATCTTGGACCCACTGCCAGAGGCCTCATATATTGTCCTAGTCACACCATTGTCACCTAGTTTGGTCTTTCACAGGTTCCCCATTTGTCAGACCCGAGTCACTGATCACTCACTAGCTCGGGTCAGCTGATTCTGT